AACTACAACTGTAAAAATTCTTAGGACAATATATATGTCAGGGAAATACTAACTTACAAACGAATTACAAATTACACTCATTCTTTATAACCCTTATAAATTTGTCTTTTGTCATTTGCCGAAAAAATTTAATACCAATACCGATACTAATACTACTAATAATGATAATAATAATGATAATAGTAATAGTAAACTTCTGAATAAATATTTAAAAAATTAAATACCTATAAAGCCTGATGGTTTAGTTTCAATTTTTTCTTTCACGTTCTTCAACGCATTTGTCTTTTGTCTTAAATCTATCAAATTGATCATTGTTAACAGGAGCAAACAAAAATAAAATCAACTAGTATATGAAATTTCAAACCAAAATCAAATAAAGCTCAACATCAACAAACTGACTTAACTTACCATCTACTGGTTTAACAGAAGTTGAGCATTTTTGCTTTTCAGATAAGAAAACTACAGGAAGTTGCAAAGGAATTGGAGACAAGAATGAAGAGCATTTATGATGATTTGGCTAAAAGAGAGGCTGAAGCAGAGAAACTTAGACAGACCATTAGGAATACTCCCCCTAATGACCCTGCCTATGTATGTACAGTGTACCTAGAAGGGTCCTAATAACAGCAGGCCATCAGGAATATTCCCCCTAATGATCCTGCCTATGTATGTACAGTGGACCTAGAAGGGTCCTAATAACAGCAGGCCATCAGGAATATTCCCCCCAATGACCCTACCTATGTATGTACAGTGTACCTAGAAGGGTCCTAATAACAGCAGGCCATCAGGAATATTCCCCCTAATGATCCTGCCTATGTATGTACAGTGGACCTAGAAGGGTCCTAATAACAGCAGGCCATCAGGAATATTCCCCCCAATGACCCTACCTATGTATGTACAGTGTACCTAGAAGGGTCCTAATAACAGCAGGCCATCAGGAATATCCCCCCTAATGACCCCACCTATGTATGTACCCAGGAGGGTAACATCAGGAATACTCCCCCTAATGTCCCTGCCTATGTATGTACCTATAAGGGACCTGATTACATCAGGCCATCAGGAATACAACCCTATGACATGCTAATGTGCGCCAAAGACTTGTATGTACCTACATCTCCTGTTTATAGTTTGTGAGTAGCATCTGCATGGTCTTCATGATGTTTCTTATGAGCAGATTCGCTTTTCTTAGACCCATCTGCAAGCTCGCTTGGCAGCTAAAGAGCAGCAGTTGCTTGAGTTGAGGAATGAGTATGGAAAGCTCAAACAAGATCATGACAGAGCAAAGGAAAGATTGCAAGAAGAGATGGCTGCTGTCAGGGAACTAGAAACACAGTTAGCTGCACTGAGTAAGTGATTTGCTAGCGACCAGTTCTGGGTACAAGTGCTGTTTAAATTGGGCGGCTATTTGAAGCAGCATTAGTCTAATTCTGTGAGTGCCGTCCTAGCTTGCAGGAATTCCTTGATAGTTTTCACCTGCGTCGAGGCTACCGATTTTTGGGAAAACAGCTGACCAAAAAAACATGATCGCGAACTCTGCATTATGAGTGTGGTTAAACGGAAAAAGAATAGTATCATAGGTCATCATGCAGAATTTAAACAAGCTGAAAGTCAATGATACTGTTGGACCCCGCTATTTCCAACTCGGTTTTTCGAATTCCCCGTTTTTTCGAACTCAAAACCATCTCCCGTGGATTTGCCCTTCACTCATTTACTATCGGCTATTTCAAACTATTTTTCGATTCCCCTGAAAGTTGAAATAGCGGGGTTCAACTGCAGTTGATAATAGTCGACGATAGTGAATGGTTGTTTCACGGGACCTTAAGCTTCAACTATCATAACCTATCTTCCGCCGTTTGACCAGGGCTTAAAGGCTCGGCTAAATAATGAAGCATTGCATGTTAACGAAAGAATGTTTGAACAAGGGGCAACTAAACAATCAGGGCCTGGTTGCTTAAACCTTGACTAAGCTAATTCGGGATTACTGTGATTTTTTTAATTCAGTGTTACGCCTTTTCAGGGACGTTTTCATGTTTTATTTTCTGGCCTGCAGTTGTGACGTCGCCTGATCTAAAACTCTACAAAATATTCTGTGAAAAACACTTTTACTGTATATTTTAGTCTGTCTATAGAACCTCTAGTTCGTCGAGATCGCAAACATAGCGAATTTATTAACCCGGTTCGTGGGTTACACACGCGAAAACGGAAAGGGGTGGGGCTGGGCAAAGATCAAAAAAGAGGTTTAATCCGGTCCAGACATGTTGTTGCTGTATTTGCCAAGTAACGAAAGTTGTGGTAAAAAATTGAGTTTTTTTACAAATTATTTTTGAACGCAGATCGCCGAAGTACTATGAATAACCGTATATCTTAGAGTTTTTTTATATCGTTAGGCTGAATACAAGAGTTTTGGATGTCTTCATTGTTTTTTCTCGATTGTGTCCTTACACAGGAAACGCAAACGGCGACCAAGATAAATTGAAAGAAGAACTAAAGAATATCATAGACGATTTGAATAATAACTTAAACTCCATGAAACAGCAAGTGGCGCAGCAAGCGAGACAGATCAATCAACTTCAACATGAAAAGGACGCGTTAGGTCAGCGGTTAAAAGACATGCAGGCTCAGACGGCTGGTAACAAACAGCTCAAGGACACTATCGCCAAACTACAACAACAACTGAAATGTGAGTTTTTAACAAGGATGACCCTGCTGGCTTACAAAAATTAATGCTGGGTTTAAAACAGAAGGTTTCGTGAAGTAACTGTGGTCCCAATCATTTAGCACAAAGACTTTTGACTGTTTTCAAAACAGTTTCCAAAACACGTCACAATAGTGAGTGTGATAGGGCTGCAAGTATGAAGGTGTCTTTTTTATTTTATTCTGCTGTTACAACATTTTTCCGAATCAATCAAATCTAAAGACAACAAAGGTACCAAAAACAAATACATAATGCCAGTGACATTGGTAAAAATTCTGAAAATCGAAATGTCTATAAGCTTGAAAGCTTTTTATCTCTGAAATATTCAGCCAAAAACACGTATTTCTAAATTTTTTGATGTTCATTTTAATAAAGAAATATATATTAAAATGGTTTAAAACTCTTATCACTTACCTAATAGCATTGATACACTCGAAAGCTTTTGTAACTTTAGTCAGTGTTTGTAAACAAGTGTCCATTCTTCCTATTCAGTGAACGAAGATGCTTTGGAACGAGAGAGAAAGAACTGTGAAGCGCTGCGGCGGCGCTTGTCCAATATGGAGGCACAGGCAACCCAAGGGTCAGCTCTGGAACCAGCATTTGCTGAGGCAAAAAACAGACTGAAGGAAGCTGAAGCTGAAGTCGCCAGACTGCAGAATGCTCTTAATAAACTAAAACAACAACTACAGGTCAATAATTTTGCTTTCAGTACTGAGTGTTAGTGAATTTCTAGGCGCGGCATTCTCATCTCGGATCTCCCCGGAGTACCATTTAAGTTCGGTACAATTTGAGATTAGCATGGGTTCAATAGATGTTAAGAAATGCACTGTTGGTTTATTCATTGAAGGATGACCGCAGAGCGGCAGATGAGAGATTAAGAAAGGAACAAGAGAAAGTTGACAAAGCTTTACAAGCTGCAAGGAATGCTGGAAACAAAGATAGAGAAGTTAAAGAGCTGGCTGCACAGGTTGATAGTCTTACGGTATGTTACAGGATATAACATTGAGAAGAGAGTTAAAAAAAGATGTAATGACATCTCAACCAATATAATGACTCTGCAGGTGCGTTTTACTTCTGGCTACATTTCGGTCTAAATTGTCGTCTACGAAACAGTAACAGAAAATGATCAATTCTGCGTTTTATAGAAACCGCAATGAATCACAAGTACAGTACATTTTGCTTGTTTCTGTTTGAAATTGTGCGCCGCTCAGTGGCGGATCCAGACCTTGAGCTAGCGGGGGGTTCGCTCACCCTGCCGGCTTTTCTTTCTTTTACGATTTTATTATTAATTTTTTTTTAGCACAAAATAAGGGGGACCCCGGCCTCCGGGGCCCCTTCCTTAGGTCCGCCACTGCCGCTTAGACATCAGCAGAGGACACTGAAGAATGGATTCAGACGCACCAGGAACAGTAACAATAACAGAAACTTTATCAATGTCTAATTGTTTTCTCCTGGATCAGAAATTTTTTTTTGATCAAGCTTTTTTGTTATAAACCGGACACTGCTTTGAACTGAGGTGTGAAAACGATAAATTTCTGTGTCATATTACTTGTCTTATTACTGAGTATAACATTTTTTCCCTGAAGGCGGACAATGCCTCTCTCGCTCAGCGACTGAACGACGCAGAGGACGAACTGAGCAACTTAGAGAACTTGCTAGACAAAGAAGAGGTACTGGAGAGACTGGGCGAGTTAAAGAATGACATCAATAAGAAACGATCTGCTGTCCGTGAACCGTTCAATGATCAGGATGACCTGGGACGAGCTCTAGCTGACCTTCATCGGAAGTACCTGGACCTAATGAGAGATCTGGAAAGAGAGCGACGAAAACAAGTTTGTAATCCTTTTTATCGCTCTAACAAGAACTATAAATATCCTGCACTGTGTACAAAGAGGTAGTCTCAGGATTTTAATTTGTTTTATGAAGATAACAAAACTATATTACATAGTAAAACATGATGAAATGTGTTGAAGGAAAGTTCGTTTAGCTGGTTACATATTTTCGGTGTGATAGTTCGATACAGGGAACCATCCATTGATAGAGGCCCAAATACATGCAAATAACTAGCTACTCTCAAGTCTTCTGTGGATTTTTTCTGGAAGGAAATGCTACTAAAGCTATAGAAAGGTACACTCGAGGAAATCAGTTCAATTTCAGCAATGATTTAATGTCTGATTTGTATTCCGAAGATACTCCGTATGAATTAACTCTAGGAGTAAACATGTTGTGAAGATAAACTGGGGCAAGTTTCTTGATTGTTCGTTGTGAATAAATGTTTGCTCGATTATTGAATTGTATCTATTAACAGCCTGATGGAGAACTGGAAGGTTTGCAGGCCAGACTACAAGATGCCGAGAGAGCTTTGAAGCAAGCAAGAGATAGAGCTTCACAGGTAAAACACTGGCAGGCGAAGAAATGACTAATAATTCCTCTCTTTCCATGGAAGGTGATTGTGTAAATTAGCGTAATAAAATCGAAACTATTCCAGTCAACCAACCTCGTGAGCACTGGTCATCTGGGTGTACGGAAACCGCGGGCTCACTTGAGATTGGAGTTAATGTCGATTCGTTGTGCTTCGCATTGATTGTTTCGCTCAGATGTTTAATATCAGTCGCTTTGGGTCCATAAAACTGAAGTGGTTGCACTTAGTAGTACAATGTTCAACCCATAATACTGATGAGATTGCGGCTGGTTTGTTTTTCTCTCCAGCTTGCTGGAGACAAAGAAGACAGGGACGCCAAGTTAAAGAAAATGACAGAAGAACTGAAGAAACTAAAAGACAAGCTAGGAAGGCAGGAGAGATTAGAAGATGAGGTATATATCTTAATTACATACATAACAGTTACCTTGCTGGTGTACACCTGTTTTCTCACTTGCTCTTTCGACTCATTGATAGTTGTTCGCCAATTTGCCAAACAGCTAGAGTTGGCTTGATTGTGCAGTAATTGTGCGCTGGTGTGGTGAGCGGGCGAGCTCTCTCTTCCCGACTGTAGACAATACCTTCCTGCAGCTGAGGCCCAACTGTTTCCCTTCTTTTGCATTGTTCGACTAACAGTAGAACTAATGCCTTCGATGGGTGTCTGCCAAAGGTTATACCGTCAGCTTGTTCTGGGTATTATACATATAGCTGGCTGTTGCAACAGTTAGTCGGTTAACAATTACAAGCATACGAGCAGTCCTTGTACATGCTGGGATGAAGTGCGTTTCCTTGTAACTTTTTCTGAAGTGATATTGTTTGTCGCTAAGTCGAGTTGTGTTTTTAAAGCTTGAAAGAGAAAAAGCAGAACATGCTGCAGACATGAGTGGACTGGAGAAACAAATAGCTCAGCTTAAAGATCAGCTCAACAAGGCCAGACATGGTTTGCAGGATCAGGCAAGTTCTTAGTAGATATCCGATATTACTAATAACGATTTATGAGCACTGACTGATTCTTTGTCAAGCTTGAGCATTATAGACAGCGAGAAGTATCAAGGCAGAGGTTTTGTTCAACTTCGTCTCCGTTCTTTTATTGTTGCTCTTGTTTTGTAAGCCTTGTAAGGTTTATTTCTCGACTTTTCTTGGGGGAAACCTCATCGGGTTAAGCTTTTCAGGTTGTTGGCAATTTTGTTCAAGAATTACGAGCCTACAGGTTTGTGTGCTGTGTGACTTGCATCCAATCTGCTCTCTGAATAAATCCATTTATAGGAGATTAAAGCTTTGGGGGTCATCATTTAGTTTGCAGGTAACGCAAAGTTGAGATGTAGAGTCTGTAATTAGTTCTTATTAACCGAGCAGAAGGTCTGTATGGGAGAATCTTGACCGAGGTCGTGAGTACAGACCGAACGTAGTGCGGTCTGTACACACGACCGAGTTCAGGATTCTCCCATACAGACCGACTTAGCTCGGTATGTATGTGTTCTCTCGACTTTAATAGTGCACTCTCTTCTTTGCGTTTTTGTTTAATTCATAAACGTACAATCTACTCCACAGAATGACAAATACGAGCGACAGAAACAAAACGGTGAACATATTTGTATTTGAGTTTGCTACTTTTCTACGGCAAAACATTACCGGTCTAGATGCCGGTCTAGATGGGAAAATCTAGACCGCGGTCAATATCGATTTCAGCCAATCAAATTCGTGAATTCGGTAGTTCCCAGTCCTTGTGAGACAGCCATATAATAAAAGGTGTTACGGGTTTAATGATGTTGACGAGTCCTGTTACAAGGTTGTCGTATACTGATCCAACTTTTCCTCTTAATTGTACGGTTTTTTTTTTAATACCAGTTGGCGGGTGCTAGAGCTCCTCTTCAGGCTAAAATAGAGGACATGGAAGATGCCATGCAACGTTTACAGGATAAATTTAATAAAGTGAAAGCTGAGAATGACAGGGTAAGTTACTTGTTTAGTTTAAGAGCGTTCAGGCATACGAACACTATAGGGATTAACATATGTGTGAAAAACGATAGGCAGTCATGTTAAGAAAATTAACACGATCTTGACTAGACCTTGCGTTGGCAGGGCCTCTATTGACAGCAGTTTTATTTATAGAGCTGACAGAGTTGCCCTGAAAAAAATTAAGGTTTTACTTAATACTTACTTGACGGAGACCGTACAATTGAGCCCTCGCTTGGTCCACAGGCTAATGAGAAAGTTTAGGGGTCGAGCTTCTGTTTCCTTGTGTAGCTTCTAGGTTTTTAAAACTTGTTTGCTAGATAGTAGCTTACTAGTACCGGCGCAATGTCGTACATGTAGGTCGTTCAGTACATGGCATTTATGAGTCAGTGCCTTGCTTTTAGTTATGTTTTTGGTTGTTGTCACGTTTTTTAGTTAAAGGGAGCTATAGCGGCCGCTGAAGAGGGCCGAGGGGATCTGGAAGACAGACTTGCAGAAATGATGGATAAACTGAGAGAGGCACGGGCACGAGCTGAGGAAGCGGTGAGTGATTACGTGATCATATTATAAGGCCACCTAATTTGGTCACATGGCCATATAACACGTGACCGTATAGGAAACGGAGTACAATCACATTGAGAATGAGATACGAACGTAAACATATATGCTTACCGTGTTTAAATAAAGATTATGTATGTATGTGTTCTCTCTACTTTGATAGTGCACTCTCTTCTTTGCTTTTTTCTTTAATTCATAAACGTACAATCTACCCCACAGAATGACAAATACGAGCGACAGAAACAAGCGTTGGAAGCTAAAGTTGAAGCTCTTGAAAACGAACTCGAACGGGCAAGGAATCGACTCAAATCACTGCGGGCGCAGGCTGAAGAACGGGTACAAGTTTTTCATTATTTTGTGGTAACTCGTGTTAATTTTACTTCGACAATCTATGAATGCGAAGAGAATTGTAAAATGAGCAGGTGGAAGAATTTGTATGTAGCTGTCCATGTACCTGTTTCTTTGTTGTTGATTGACGTATTAACAAATAGAATGCGAGTTCAAGACTTATATGAACAATAACCTACAGCAAGTTTGAGAACTTATCGTATTTATATTCACATCATCATAGTAGGTAAGTAATTTATTTAATTTCAATCACACGGGGAGGGCTTGCACAATCTCCACAGCCAGAGGCTCGTGTTAAAGTGCTTGACTATACCACAAATCATAAGCTAAGAAACCGTAACATAATCTGAATAGAGTTGCACTAGCTTGTTACTTCCGTTACTTAAATAGTTACAAGTAGAAAAGGAGAAGGCTGCTGCGAAGATAGATGGACTTGAAGATGAAATAGATGGTCTAAAGAGCCGACTGAGGAATCTTCAACACAAGGCCGAGCGTGAGGTGAGAGACTAACAGTTTAGGATCCAGCAGGAAATTCAACCAGTAGAAACTGTGTGACCTTCCGTTGTTTTGTTTTGTTTTGTTTTTTTTTTTGTCACGGTGATGCAATGGACGCGTTCATTAATCATCAGCTGCCTGTGTTCATTTGTAGTTGGACAAAACAAGAGATGCTGGAGAGCGCAAGGTTCGGGACCTGGAGAATCAGATGGCCGATCTCAGACGACAACTGGACAATGAAAGGGCGCGAGGCGAAGAACAGGTATCACGGCATCCAAGTGCAGGTTTTCTTCTCATTCTTTGATTGAATTAGTTCTAAATTTATTGAGGTAAATATTTTTCACCACGAAGATAACGATTTACACCATTCAAGCCTGGTGCAGCAATGTAGCAGGTTAATGGTGTCAACTGTTTCCTTCTTGTTTTAAACGGTCGTGTATGGTTGGTCCTTTCATACAATAAATTTTGTTGGGAGTCGGTTTGTAAATGGTGTGCATTGCGAGAGTACGGCCTCTTTACGAATCTCTCTCTCCATTTAAAGGCCACTTTGTCCTTTGTGAATCGCAGAGCCCCACTCCGCCCTTACCCCTGTCTTTGTACATATTCCACTACTATCTGTATGATTTGGCGTGGATTCATTTTTATTATGTTGTAGACAAATAACTTCTTAGTTCTGATGAAGACTCCTGTTCTTAAGCGGTCAGATCTGTGTTTTTTTTCTTGTAGCTGAGAAGAGCCCACAGTAAAGAAGCAGAATTGCAAAACTTGCTCGGCGAAACAGAAGCTCAATTGCAGGTGAGCAGGCTAGTCAACGCAACACAAGCGATACTGTAGACCAATATACCACATTTATTATGTTTCCAGTATCTTCTCCTAGAAAGGTATAACCACATTTGTCGGCCATGTCTTTTTCTTTTAGAGAACTGCGCATCAAAGTCACGCCCAGCAGGCCAAGCTGCGTGACTTAGAGAATCAGATCGATGGACTAAGAAATACTTTGAAAGAAGCACAAACTCAGGCAGTGAAGGTGATAAACTCTTGTATTCTGCTTTGCTTTGTTTCCTACTACCTCAAGCATCTGTAACAGCTGTTCAAGGTGCTAGCATCTGCATTGCCGTATTTTACACCTTATAACGACATTTTTTCTTGTGATGTTTTTGAGCTTGAGACGGCTTCAGCAGTCTGGATTTTCCTTGGTCGCTCATGTTTGTTTTCTCGTTGTTCTCAACGCAGGATAAACTTGAACAGGAACTCGAAGCAGTCAAAGCTGAGAGAATGAGAGCAGCGATACAGGCAGCGGCGGATAAACAACTGGCTGATGCACAACAACAGGTATACAAAGAAAATCAAAACTAGGTTACAAATGTCGAACAGTTGCTGTACTTTGGGGATAAATCAACAACTGCCAGTTTTTTCTCAGCCATAGGAGATAAATAATTTTAATTTTTGTTGTTGTTGTGTCCCCAATTAGTTGTGAAAACTAAATACATTGACACATTAGTAAAGCTTTAACTTTACTTTACTTTACTTTACTTTATTTACAGCGGCTATCCAACTAACAAAAACAACTCATGACTATTCCATTTACAATCGGGGATGGAGTTTTCAAAAGCCTTCCAGATGAGATAGACATCATTGTTTTTCGCGTGATATCAAGAAGCTTAAAACATTTCTAGATCATTGAAAATCGTTCTGTTTGATATTGTACAACAACACTCGAGAAATGTCAGGAAATTCAATAAGCGAGGATACCGAAATGGAATTTAATGGAAAAAACTTTAAACAACGCGAGGATAACGTTTCTTCTGAGTTGTTACCGGGAACTCGTCGGCCACAGATGAACAATACGATGGAATACATTCTTAATTTATGGGCTTCGCTCTTTTGAAATTGGTTCAATATGAGAAGACTAGCTTAGACCAGTAAATCATGTATGCCATTTTGGCAGCTGGTTCTCTTCATTATAACTTGATCAAGTCTTCTCTTTGTTCTAGGTGGCTTCGTTGCAATCTTTGCTTGACGCAAAAGATAAGCAACTTCAACAGCAAATGAAGCGTGGAGCACAAAATTCATCCGATATAGGTAGAGCGAACTTCCGATTTCTTCTTTTTAACCGCAAGGCTGTAACAGTATGTTTTCCCTTCAAAGTAGCCTTGCACGGAACGAGACTTTTTTATTTTAACCTGAATTTCCAAAAAAAACCCATCAAGTAACGGCCTGCTTGCCAGAAAATTTACTTCAGTTACTGAAGAGCCTAACAGTCACTTTGCCTCTCGGCATTTGTTTGCGTGACGACCATGGCTCCTCTATCCACAAAGATTAAGTCACACGAGTCATGTTCTTTCTGTCATATCTTTAGCTGCACAGCGAGCAGAGATCAGAAACCTTGCATCAGCTTTGGCCGAGCAGAATGAGGAACTGGAACGACTCAAAGAGGATCTTGGGGACATGTCACGAGCGCCAGTCCATCCGCAGTATTTCCATCTTGCAGGTTAGTTGACACAGAATGATTAATTAAACTGTAATTACTCTATCTCAAACAAGATCTGGTATCAGAGAATATCAAATTGACGTTTTTGTGAGGGAAAAAGTGTACACCACGGTTGTTTGTGAACGAGTCAATTATGTGACATGCCAACAGCTAATAAGAGAAAGGCAACATGACGAACAGTCGGTTTGTTATCTTTCTCAGAGGAGCATCGTTCAATGTAAGCTTTTTCCGATATTGGCTTTACTTGCTATCTTATGTCTATGATAGTCATGAATTTGGTTCAATTTATGGCAGAGTCAAATACCTTTATTAACAATACAGCTTGATTGGTCGAAGTCAGAAAAGGGTGAAACTAGGTCGAGTAGTTACTACAGGTTACAAGTGTCTTCACCCTTACCTTTGCTGTTTCTATACCTTTTAATGTATTAGCTTGAAAGATCCGAGTCTGCGTCATTTATCTGCTACCTTTTAATTCTACAGATCCCAGTCTAACTGCTTTGGCCAATGAAGTCGAAGCTTTACGAGCAGCTCTTCTACAAAAAGAACAACAAGTCCGGAGCCTCACCCGACCAATTCCACTTCTCTCAACTCCGCCATATCCGCCATTTACCTCTTCCGGTCTAGCGACCACGCCAGGCCTGGTAACTACTCAAACACACGTACCTGGGGTGGCTCCGGTTGTTTCTGTAGGGGCACTGAATGGAGCTGCTAGCACGCGGACTGTTCCAATCATGACACCAGTGATAACCAGTTCTGGTGGCCTGGGTACTAACAGCTATCTGGCTAGTCCTGGGCAGGTTCATCATCATCATTATCATTCAAAGAAGACCAGCCGAGGTACGCACTGCCTGCTGCACCAGTAATTTATTTCTCCTACATAAATTATAATAAACGGTTGGAGATTTAAATAGAGTGGTTTTCAGTGGGTGTCGCAAGTAATCAGGCAGTTACTTCTGTTTTGGTTTTGGTTTAACTACGGTTTGAGATTGAGCGAGTAGTCTGGGGTAAGTAAATGGTTTGGCTTTGGTTTTACGACACTCAGTGGAAAACAGCTCCAAATCGTTTTATTAATAAGTAGCTTACAATCAAGCAAGGGCTCTCTGTCTGATGTACAGTAGTTTGCTGTCATGATTACATCTACATGTACAAACAAGAGAATATGACCTCTTGACTTAAAGTATTATCTCTCATACCTTTTGCACAACCTGTCTTCGTCGGTTTCTTCTTAGAATAGTTAAGTTTTTTTGTTTGTGACTAATGGTTGGCTAATGGTTAGCGCCGAGCAGTCTGGGTTCGAGCCCTGACTGGGACCACTGTGTTATGGTTTTGAGCAAGACACACCTCTCTCCACTCAGGTGTTTAAATGGCATGGGTGCTGTTGTATTTAATGCTGGGTGTAACCATGCGATAGACAAGCATCTCATGCAGGGGGGAGTAGTTCCATAGTACAGAAGAGAGTATCTTCATAGTACAGAAACCCAGATAAGCTCTGATGGGATACTTGGCCACTGCGTTTCTTTTAACCAAAGTAATTCATTAGAACTATTTTTTAAACTGTAGTTTTAGTGCTGAAGAGTATCTTTGTTTTCTGATAGGTGGGTCAAAACCAAAATCATTGACGATAACAACCTCCCCACACCTCTCCCCTGAGGTTTTGAGTGCTACCACAGTAACCGCCCCTGTTTCATCTTCTGTCCTTCATCATCATCATCATTATAATGACGTCACCAGTCAAGATGACGACACGCTGAAAAGAAAGAAGAGAAAAACCAAGAAACAGCAGGATGACGTGTTGTTTTGTAACTTTCCAAATCACGAGGGCTTGGTAAGTCGAGGTCTTTGCATGGTCATACAAATAAAGCTAGTTGTTACTGTTGTTGTTGCTACAATTGATTCGTTCTCTTTATGGAGCTGAGTTATCGTAAAGAAAATGTGACTAGAGTTCTTTAAAATGACTGTTTCAACACTAAACTGAACCAAAATTAGTCACCAGAAACAAAGCATAGTTGCCTTGTTGACCTTCAACTAAGATTCCACCAGGAGGACCGTCTAAGCTTGTTTTCTCTCTCTTTTCTGTCAGTGTAGCGTTTTGCCGTATTTTTAGTGTATGCTAATCGAAGTTCTACAGTGGAGCCACCCAGAAAGTGATATCCTATTCTTAAGTTTTTCACTTTCCTTTTAGGAATATGAAGTTGGGAGGTTGGAAGGTATTTTAACTTCGTCGGTGCAAACTCAAAAAATTCAGGTATCAAAAAATGCATTTTGTAGTTTCCTGGTTTTTAGCGTGGTCTCTAAATAGTGACCCCCGCCAAGCTCTCGACATCTGATGATTATTTGAAGAGAGTTCGAGCCCTGGCTGGGGTCAAGACATTCTCACACTCTGCCTCATACTGTTACTGTGCGCTGGGATGAAGGGCAACTTACGATGGGCAAGGATTCTATTAGGGGGAGGGTATAGAGATGGAGGACTAGAAATACTTGCTTCAACCGGAGTAAGGGGCCAAGCTGTTTATCTCGCTTTAGCTACCTGAAATGTTACTGAACATATCTTTTTAGCGGAATCTCGCCAGACAGAGATGGTCTAATTACAGACAGAAGAACATTACGCTACCAGTCGGGAGATTTTATCTCAAATATTGCATTCGGGGGTATTGTTTATATGCTTTGTGCTAATATCCTGGAGCGATAAATTCTCAAAGGCCATTCAATAATTTTCAACGTCCGTTTGTCGATTGGATAAAGGTCGCGGTGAATTCTGTCCCTTCCAAAACCACAGGGTAACTCAATTGCAGACAGAGGTATTTAACAATGTGAATTAATCAGAGAAAGAATGGAGCTCAATTGGGGAGAATGGGTCTAAGAGGAAATATTGATTTAACCCCACGTACTGTGATTTGAACAGCATGAGTAATGATATGCTAACTCGAGTTACCTTTGTTCATTGCTAACTGTCAGTGTATCGCATCAACGTTCGCTTATTTGAGAACAACAAAGCGGCATTTTCGAAGCGTCTTAACATCTTTGTAGCCGTAAAAGTTTGCCCGTCTGTCGCCCTGTTACGTTTTTAATGTATTTGAACATCACAACTTCAGGAAATTCGTGGATTAGGATATTTCAATCATACAGAAGGTTCTTTCAATAGAATGTCAGAGAGGGCTTATGGCAAAGAAAACCGATTTAATGCTCGATTTCCAGTGAGAGAAAGAAAGGTATTATTATATTGCTATATTGTCTTTGTTTATAGCTTACTAGTTATGGCTAATTGCAATAATTTGTCTTTTTATTTAGGAACAACGAGACTCACTTAGAATGGATCTAAAAGAGTTAGAGAATGAGGTGGGTCAATCATGTCATTGTTTCACGCTGCAGTTAATATTGAATGACCCGGTGATTTGTCCGCCAGTAGGCGGACCATTTGTGTTCAGTAAATGCCGTGTAATCCCTCGCTTGTTTATAACAGATTTAAAAGAAGCCTTTTGTCATTCTGCTAAATGATTTCATCTGTTCATTGTGTTACTCTTTGAAAAGCTGTTTGTAAAGCAGTTCAGCTGCGTGCTTCAAGTGAGTCATTGCGTAAAGTCGCACAAATTTAAAATTGATTCAGTTTTGAAGTTCAATCTGGCGTTAAGTCATTCATTTGATTATTCTGACCTTGATCGCATATTTGTGTTCTTGTTGAAAGGTGGAAGACTCTTTGAAACGACGAGCAACAGCAAGGCAATCTCAACGACATTCACTGGATGCCAATTTAGCGGTAAGTTGTACCTTCGACTAGCGAGGGTTTAATTTAAAATTCTCTCGTTGTTACACACCACTTAATTTTTTGCTGTTAACAAAGGGACTGTCGTTCTTCTTTGACACTGTTAAGTGCTAAGCTGGCTTAGAATATCCACATGAAAAGTTTAGGCGGGAAACATAAATCAAAATTCCTCGGTTGTTGTTGATTTTAAAATTCGATGACATTTTTAGTTCTATTTTCAGTTACCATTGTTGGGAATGAGCAATATGAAATCCAAAGAAAATACTGCGAACCAAGTCTGCCGTACATTTTATCGGCAGAGTATCGGTTTTTTGAAAATGTTTTGATTGGTTTATCTTTAAGTCGTTTTCCGAGTCGTTTGACCCAAGCTGTAAAGACTGATTTGTATAACAACATATATTAATTGAAATGGTAGATTACATTGATTCACGTATCCTTCAAAATAGTTTTGAACGTAACCCATCAACTGATTTTCATGTGTACCTTTGTGTTACTATTTTAGAGGCTTCAGGATCATCTCTTGACTGTGGTTGATCACAAATCTCGACTCTCCTCGCCTGACGTTAATTCACTTTAATGTTAATTATCTATAACATCATAATTTGTTCCGAAGTAACCCACGCTATAAAATGAACAATGCTATTACATTTTCTTTTTTATGTTATCAGCTCTTTTTTTTTTTGCCCTCTGGGAGTCTTCTCTTAGCCCCTAAAAAGCACTCAACAATTGCTTAGGTGCATTTTGGTTTTTGTTCCTAACTGTATTATGGAAATTCAAATCGACCTCTGTTTGCTTTGTGTATAATTATGCCACATTTTAATAATGAAAAAATAAATACTGTGACTTAACAGGGACTTTTGCAGTTGATCAGAACACATTTGGGGTTGGATGATTGGCAGCCGACAAAAAAGGTGAAAGTCATTGGGTCTAAAATTCGGTTGGTTTCTGTTTTACTGTTGAAACTAAAGAGCTTTGTCCTGCTCGCTTACTTTTTTCTCAGCCAAGGTAAACAAAATCCAGGAGTATAATGCTGTAATTTGTAGGCAGTTAACACGAGCAGTTAACACGAGCAGTTACAATTTCCAAATAAATTATTTATTCGCGAAACAATTATTTACCATCCAAAAAAACAAAGACAGCGTGGTTAGGTTACTATCTGTAAACAAAGCAAAGGCTGGCCTACGGATTCACTTGGGCCGAGCTCACGGCTCACGTGACCGCTTCGTATTACATCATTTTCTAATGGTCGATATGGACTTTGTTTTATTTTTACTGCACAAACAGACGTTAAAAGCTGCAAGTGGCCCGCTAGACTGTTTCAGGCACTTAGAATTTCTAGGATTGTGTGATGCTATGTAGTTTGTATAACGTTAAGGGTTGGTTTACCTGGAGTGGTTACACGAGTGAAGATCAGAAAGCCAGCCTTTTCTTGGTAGCCTTATACTTAGCCAAGTTACTTTATGCGTGTTTTCTTTACTATTTTTTTAACAAGCAAAGATATATTTATTTTGTTGTAACTAAAAATAACAAAATTACAACTTTTCTAGCACGTCAAATAAATTTTGCTATGGTCAGTTTATTGAAACGTTGTTTGTGGTTTCTTGTTGTTTGGGTAATGAATGGGCTTCTGAGCAGGGCTGGCCTTCTGGTGTGAATCTCGAATGTGGTACTGCATTACATCCGCAGAACTTGAATAATTCTTTCAGTTCTGACTAAAACAAATCAGGAAACATAAATAACTATCACTGTTCCGTGGTAGAGTGTCCGTCATACTAGTGGAAGAACACCCTTTCGCAAATCATCAAGCAATTTGGAGCAATAACGTGGATAATTATCTCTGTAAAGCAAATTTTCGCTTATTAGCAATTACTCTTGGAATATCGCCAGATAAGTAGGTGAAAACCGAGGCTATAGACCGAGTTGCTAAAATCATACGTTAACATGAGAATCTGAACGAGTCGCATTTCTAAAGTTCAGATTGTGGTGAAGCGATTTGCAAAATGTCGGACAACTCTCCTTGAGCGCACTTACAAATACGGCAAATGACATCTCTCACAGGATATCAGTCATTTACGCGTATGACAGACAACAAGGACTACCTGAGCATTTGAGGAGCCTGTGAACAGGTTACCTATTGGGGTATGGGGCGAAACGAATTGGACAGCCGAGCGTTCTCGCAGAGGAAAACTTTCAGATAATCCCACCCAGACTGCGCTCGGCTCGTTCGTCTTTCTGTGTGTTTATTTCGCCCTATGTTCGCAGGCTATATATGAGCAGTCCGTGGAGGAAAAGCAATAAGACCCATGAACAAAGGTATAACTTGGATACCTTAGCAAGATTACTCTCGCACATTTTTCTAATACAGTAACTTCGTCAATAAAACTACTCGGCACATTTTAACGGCTTTAAACCCTGCAACCTAAGAAAGCTTCTAGCGCCCTAATGTTATTATACAGATACTCTGAGAGCATTGCTTTACTCGATAAATAACAGGCAGGGCAAGAACCCGGAAAAAGAGCTGACGGACCAAACCTGGGCTGGAGATGGATTACCAGAAGTTTGGCTCGGCTGGATTCCTTTGAAGTCCTGCTTAATTAGCAAAATTGCTTTTGTCAGTAATGCATGATAGTCTCCTTACAATACAGTCAAGTGAAACACACAGAAAAAAATCGATAAATATGTACTGCAGTCTGTTATCAGGCGTTGATCAAATTATTTTTCGTCGTTGATATGATTGATTTACATATTTAAATGTAACACTTGCTGATTTGAAAATAATGCGATTAAACATCTCGTAACAGGCGGGCAGTAAGAGAGTTTACATCATGAGAGCTGTGGACGAAGAAGATGAAGAAAACTTTCCTATGAAATATCTTCAACAAAGGCAAGGGCGTCTAATATCTATTTACCATAACTAACTTTAAGGTTGCTTTTCAGAGGTAATTTATGATTCAATCTTTCTCTCTGGTAATTTCAGCAATAATTGCTCTTCAACATGGCATCGAAGCTTTCTGCCCAAAATTGCAAAATTTCTAAAATTCCTTTGCATTTTCTGTTAGAGACATCAAGACAGTGTTTGACCACATTTCCAAACACCTTGAAATTCGTCAAAAGTACTCCGCTGCGCGTCGTATTTTCAACTCTCTTCTCTGTGTTTGGAAATGCGGTGAAACACGGTCTTATGTGTTTAATATATTTCTTCTTATCTTTTGTCGAGGCATTTATCAAGAATAACATAAACATTCTTAATAAATTTCTCCTTTGAAAAACTCACTCATTTTGTGTCAATTGACAACCAGAATTCAACCACGGCCATAATAGTCTCTGTGTTATTTTATACTTATCACTGACTTGCCGTGTATACTTACATTTTAGCTCAGGTGAAGGAATGGAGTCTGCGCATTCCTCCACAAATAAAATGCAGCTAGATGACTCCACCCAAGAGGCACACTGGGAAAAGCAGTTGAGTGAGCTTGCTCGAGTTGAGGGCCTGGTACAGAAAAGAAAGGCAGAACTACAACGGATGGACGCTGTGCTCATTGAACGAAGGCACGAGCTGGAGGACGTTGTACACAAGGTCTGTAATTTCTTGTATTCCAGTGTAATGGGCAAAACTGTGCTTAGTACTGAAGAAGATATTTATAGACGAGGTCAGAACATTTTCATGTATGCAAATGTGATATCGGTCGACATAATTATTGGTATTGAGTTTAATGTTGCTTTAATATAATTACCCATGACATGAGTTTTGAAATAGCTTGGGAAAATTAAAGTAGCTTGTGATAGGCTATTATTTTATCAAGACGGAGAAGCAATATTGTATTAGAGTGAGCTAGTGAGAGGCTTCGGCACATCAAAAACTCACAGTCTTTGAATAAACTCTTCACAAAGAAATCACTGTTTTTAATCTTTTCTATTGCATGGTATATTCACTTCACGTGCTCATTCATTAACCACAGCCACTTTTCCCTGTTAGCGTAAAATAGCCGAGGGACGCCTGAGGCGAGCAGAAGAGGATGCTGGGATTATTGAAGAGCGAGCAGCGGAGACCTCGGCCGAGTTGATCCGCGCTGGAAATCAGCTGATTAGCCTGGAGATGAAGGGAAGAGCGTTGAGTGACAGACAGGAACAGATAAACAAGGTCAACCAAATGATATCGATATTTTGTCCTTTTAAGATTAAGGATTCTGACTCATAAAGAGCAATGTTCGATGTTTTAATATTCTTACATGATTGTGAGGTTATCAGGGCAACGCGGGTGAGTGACGTTTCTACTGCCTTAGTGGAAGTCATTTTAAGTTCTACAACCTGAGCGGAAGTCATTTTAAGAGTGAAGTCTAGTTCAACATCAAGTGAAGAGCTGCTTGTCAATTGATGGCGTTATGTTTCTATTCATAGGCCTAAGTTATAGTGATCTATTTTTAAATAAAATCGTCATAGTTTTCATTTCTTTTTATCATGTGTAAAAGAGCGTAACTTTTTATCACTGATCTTCTTTTACGCGCAGTGCCCATGCCTCTCGCCATCTGGATGCGCGGTTGGGGAATAAGTGCTATTTAAGCCACATTAATACGCCTTTCAAAGTTTTATCGAACTGTGCAATGCAACTGCTAACAGTATCTCCCATTATTTCGACCTCATCAAGACGTAGAACAGTGTTACCCCATAGGTTCTGAGACTTGATGTATTTTCAAATTTTCACAGGTTATTGAAGCAAAAGACCGAGAACTGAAAGAAGTTGAAAATTCCTGGGAGATTGTGCGACAGAATATCGATAAGCTCAACATGGAAATGGCAAATAAAATGGAAGAACTGACAAATAAAGAAAGCCAGCTAAAAGATGTGGAATCCAGACTTCAGCTGTCATTGAGGTGTGGTTTCAGTTCATATACTTTAGAGACTCCCTTAAAAAGTATCAGAAGTTTTACAATAAGGACTGACTTGACTAACTTGACATTTTGAATTTTAGGTTGGTCAAAACCCCATCCCCTAGCAAAAAATTAAATGGTGTTCAAATGCCCCATCTTAGAATGATACTAGGCGATCAAATGTCTCCAACCCCAGACATACATGGAAGAAATGGGAGATGAAAAAAAAAACCTTTTAAAACACCGGCGCCCTGAACTTCCACTGTGTCCTAAGTATTGTTTCTAAATATTACTAAAGTATGCTTTTGAAGGTCCTTCTTATCGAGCCACAAAGTTACAAAGAACGCTGCCGTTCCTGGATATCTTTTAGCTTCATCATGGTTTCGCGACTTCTTGTTCAAATTTCTCCCTATCCCTGCCATATGGTATCAAATTCTCCACCTCAATATCAACAAATGCCCGGGGTGAGTCCGGGCAATGTTATTACTATTATTATTATATCTAAATTTAATCGATGCATAATTTCTTAGGGTTAAATAAACGTCGTTTTATATAAGTTAATTTATGTCCATTGCAGGGTGGAAGAGTTAAAGCATTTAGTGGCAAAAACTGAAACAGAGGAGAAACATCAAGCAGAAAAGTATGTTAGAGCTCTTAAGGAAGGTGAAAAAGCATTAGAAGAAAAAACCGCGCAGCTTGCGAGAACACGGAACGAATTACAAACTCAAATGATTCAGTTTCATGAACTTAATAGCAAAATCAACAGGCTTAGAACAGAATTAAGAGAAGTACAGGATAACGTCAAGAAAGGAAAAGATGAAGTCGAGAGGCTTTCTCAGAGAAGGGAAGAAGAAAAAAGACTACAGGAGCTACATGTGAAGGTCAGCTGGAATGCTCGAGTGCATCGAGTGTCCGTTTACGGGATATCGTTTTTGTCATTGCTTCAAAAAATATTATTATGAGTTATTATAGATGAGACAGCCACCTCCCTGTAGGTGAGATATTTGGTTTACAAACCTAGTTCCTAAGTGTTTGGAGGGACTACGCAGTAATTTCTGTTGTTTGACTCTTATATTTACACGTTCTTGTTGAATTTTAGGATTGTGGAGGGAAACTGTTCGCCTGATCGCTCGATAAATTGCATCACTATTGGGAGCGACCGAGGACATTAAGATCAAAATTTGACCCGTTAAAAAATCGCTGCCTAAGGGTTTCCAAGGTAAAATTCCGAGTACAAGCTTCAGCGTTTCGTTCTGGGTTCTCTATGCAAAACACAGAATTAAATCTACTATCCCCAATGGCTCCCTTATATTTATGAAAGAATTTTTGCTCCTCCTCCATTTCCTCCATTTAAACAAGTAACGTCACCTATTCACCCCTCCCTCACCCAATCTACTCCATCAATATTGAGCCCGCCACTGTATCGGCTTGTTTGTGTATTTTTCCACAGAAAGCAGAGCAAAAACTAATCGAAATTAACAATGCGAGAAATGAATCGATGGAAGCCCTCAAAAGTCACCGTGAGGGGTTTGGATTGCTGAGAACTAAAATTCGCGAAAGTGTGAACAAGATCAAAGAATACGAAGAGCTGAAAAAACAGAAAGAGGCTGAGTATAAGAAGATTTCATCTTCAATGAATGAAAGCAAAGCCAAGTTGGAGAATGAGCTGGCTCAGTTGAAAAGGTGAGAACAAGAATCTGTTAATATGCGTCTATACTTCAGTGACCTTCATCTGGTTCAATTGTTTTGCTTGTCTTAAGGGAAAGGAGTGAAATTGTCAGAAAATATAAGGCTAGCTACAGTAATTTCAATTGTCACTCACTTATAATTATCAAGGTGAAAAGGCAGATGAACTATGGCGTTAAATAAGAAATGATCAGGTCAGACTTGATGCGTGCACTAACCGGGACATGCAATGAAATCATGTGGTTCAACAACCGCTATGCTAAATGACAAGCCACGTTCTACAATATCCCAAACAACGAAGAACCGAGCGTGACTGGTTCTAAGTTGACTGTTTCACGATTAGAAGCTGCTACAATTTCTGCCAGCTAGTATGGCCGGGATTTTGTACCATGTGACTGGATGGTTTCTCTCATCCAATCATCCCATTCGTAGTTTTGTTTTTGAGTTTCTCTGTTTGAGTGTGGATCGAGAAATTACCAGCTCACATTTTTTTTTCTTTTTTTGGACTACAAGTGAAATACAAATATCTGAGGAATCTCTGAGTCAGGTTAACAGCGCTCTAAAGCAAGTAACGATCGAGCTGGAAACTGCCAGAGGGGAAGTACTGGCTTTGAACGACACTAAGGACTTGGTAACAAAGGAAATAAATGATCTCCAGCAAATGTTAACAGGTAAATTGGTCTTACCTGAATAAAATAATGTGTGGAAACGAAGACAAAACAGGCCGATTGTTTGTTTTTTTTTTATTAACTGTTCTATTGATATTGAGAATGTTATTTTCGTTTTATATCTGACGGCAGAAAAAAGGAATGCACTTGCTAAAACCAATCAAGAAATTGAAGATGCTGCCAAAGAACTTGAAGCAGCGAAAGAGGTAACATAAATAGTTAAATACGTAAACTACCTCTAGAACAGGAATACCTGACTACATCCCAGCGAAGCTTAAAAGTCCCTTGAAAAGTAGTTTTTTTTTTAATTTCTTCACTGATCAGAATGTCTGTCTTGAAAGTTCAAAAAAGTCAGTCCATTACTACGCCAATAAGAAAGGATAGCAAAAAAAAACTTACTTACAACAGCTAAAAATGTTCAGTAAAACCAAGTTTATAATCTAACTGAAAATCTGCGACAGATGAAAGCCTGGTGAACTCCTACTTTTTGTTTCAATCAAGTCATAGTAGACTCATAGTAAATGCAACTTTTATGTTTAAAACAATCATGTGAAGTCAATCACAGTCACGTTTGGTGAACGGAAAATCCGTTGAACAACGATTATAACTTTCAACTGTATTTGATAAAGTTTGTGTAAGAGGTGACAGAATCACAACCTTATGTTATCTTGTCTTTCAAGAAAAATGTGGAAGCTCAATCAAGACAGAAAGAAATGATAGAACACACACGCACGGAAGACCAACATAACAACGCAGAGAATTCTGGGAAGGATAGTTTAACCCAAGAGTCCTCAACACCTAAAAATAACGAGAAAGACAATGGTGAATATCATAAACTTATGTTAAATTTCCTTTTAAAAACTAATTGACCGCTGCCAGGCTTTCATGGCCAATGAAACAAATAATGTAAAGGAACGTAACATGGTTAAAACTCCCAACTGGCATTCAAGAGCCTGACTAACTGACTATTGACAAACATGGCTGAGGAACTGAATTCGGGTCTACAGTGAATAACAACAACTAGTGGTCAGAACGGGATTTGAACCGCAGTCTGCGGATTTCGAGTCCGGCGTCCTAACCACTCGGCCACACTGCCTCCGCTGAAGCTGATCAAGCTTCCATTTGTTGAAAAACTTTCATGTTGAATTTTATTTAAGTGTTTTCTAAGCTTAATGCCACAGTAATTGACTGTTCCACAGGACTTCTAGTTGCCAGGTTACAGCAAAGTATAAAACAACTCACGGACGAAAACGAGGAACAGAATAAAGCTCTTCAAGAGGCGAGGACTGAAGTCAAGGAATTGAGAGAATTCATGAAATCAGTAAGTATCAGGGACACAAGTCTGGTAAAACACTATGTAATTTGTTACAATTTTAATCCCAAATTATCAACTGTTGGCAAAAAGAGCTGGGAATTCTGTACTAGCTGGGTTTGAACCTTCTTTCGGCCATCTACAACTTAGCAAACCCGAAGACAAGTTTTCCGGCTGCATAGAAAGATGAAAAAAATCGTTGCCTTGTCTCTTGTACGGCTAAATCAAAACGTGTGTGTATCTCTCGTTTCTTCATAGAAGTACTTTTGCAGACTCGTGAAAATGAAATTATTGAAAAAGATCCTTAAAAAACCTTTTGAGAAATAGATTTTTCTATCAGTTGTTCACTTCTTATTCTTCTCCAGGAAAGAGACAATTTTCAGGAACACTTGATACAAATGGCTTCAAAATCAGACGTTTATCGGACGCATCTTGAAAGGCTTCACATAGTAAGTTATAGCCTGTGTAACAGCCGGCTGTGACACAGGCTAAGTAGGTTGTTAGCACGTATGGATTAGAAATTGTTTGTCAAATAAGCGACTCTCACTGTTTATGATGAATCAGAGACGTTGAGAGGTTGTGGTAAAGAGAGTCAGTCTGCCTTCTTAGTGTTCATTCTGTGCCGTTTCTATTCACTATATAGATCGTGATTCTGCTCAGCTTCTACACATCTTGTTATTTGGATTATCATGGTTATGATGCAGTTTGCTTTTTCAGGAGTATGACGCTGAAAAGGAAAGAAATTCCAGGGAAAAAGACTTATTGTTAAACAAAGCAGAAGAACATCGTTTGAAGGGGAGAAAGTTATCCGAAGAACTAAGCAATCTAAAACAGAATCATATGCAAACAAAACAAGAGGTAAGCCTGCATGAAACGCCGCCAGTGTTTGACAACAAACTGGCTTTTAAGTGACTTATACTAGTAGCAGTCACCACACGGCGATCAAAATTTAAGTTTCTACCGAAACGAAGCTCACACGTGAATTTGTTCATGTTTATAAAATATCTAAGATAATGAACACGCTCTCATTGGTCGATTTCGGAATTCTCTCAACCCCTCTCGTATTTAGATGATTCAGTTCGGTTTCAAGCGCAGGCAAGTATTTTTGGACACTTAACTTTCACAGGGCCTCTCTTTACCAGGTTAGCACCGAAGATCTGAGCCATAGAGAAACATTTCAATGTGTCTTTTTATTTTACTTTTTTTAGCTCAGTCAGCTCAAGAACACTCTTTCAAAAGATGTTAAAGAATTAAAGGAACACATTGAAGGAATAACCACTCAAATAAAATCAGTAAGTTCAAACGCTACTTCCCGAGAAAGTGCAGTAATTACCTGCTAACCTGCGAAACTTTTTTTATAAGTGATAAACGCGCATGTGCCTCCTATTTTGTTAGGAATTGGCTCGGAGCTTGAAGCAAGTGGAAAGTTCTAAGGATGAAACATCAGATGAATTTGAACGTCTCCGAGGAAAGAAAGAAGAAATGGAGGTCCAGTTAATAGAACTACAGCACTCCATTAACACAGTGAGTATTGTGCGCAAGTACCTCGCTTTTTAGCTCGGAAAAGAAGTTAGTAAAGTGACTAATCTGAGGCTAACCTCAAACAGAGCAAAGAAATGTGAACGATCTTCATCTACCTCTAAGATATGATGACGGCGGGTTCACTGTCGGTGAAGTCCGCAGCTTCAGTTGCTTTAAGTCCACTTTCGTGATATGATCACCATTCTATTGCAGGTTAAGACAATGGCATTAATGGCGGAGAAAGAAAAAACGGAAACGTCCAAACGAGAGGTGAGACTTGTAACCACCATGGTAACGTAGCTGTGCTTTGTTCTTTAGGTTTTTTGTTATTGCACGCGTTTTAGAATTCCCAAGAAATATCTTAATTAAACAGCTCGGCTTGTTTTCAAGAAGACACTCTGACTCAGTCTTAGTTAGTCTAACTAGCTAGACTAGTTTTTCACGCTCTTAGTGTTTTAAAACTCGCGGCAACAATTATTCTCTTTATTTTTCAGAAGGAGGAAGCGCTAATAAAAGAGAAGGAAGAGAAATTTCAGCAGCATCAGACATACCTCAGAGTAAGTGATATTGCTGCTGTAGCTTGTATCATCCAAATGTGATATGGAGCGGAACAGTTTATAAAATCTTTATCAGTATGACTGGAAGTTTACTCTTTTCTGTTCTGTTCAGGCTCAGATTAGACAACAAATGTCAACTCGTGCAGAGGTTTTGGACGAGGAGAGGCAAAAAGCAGAAGCGTCGCTTGAAGGACTGAAGAGCAAACTGAAAAACCTGGAAGAGGTACAGAGTGATGAAATCCCCTCGACACATATGAGTAGACAAAGACATAGCCTTAGGAATATTTATCTGGATGAACCAACATAATTGTCTTAATAATATAGGTTTGAAAATCCGCAAGGCGAGTTAAAATATTTAAAGTGCTTTGATCATTGTTACGCAGCTAATGGTTTTCTTTTTTTGTTGTTTGTTTAGGTTATTTCGCGAAAAGATTCCAGTGTGCAGGATTTTCGTTTAAAGGTAAGACGATTGTAATGTTTCAAAAGGTCACAATCTGCCGATGAACCATAGCATATGAACAACTAACAGCTTGGTAGAATGGTATAGTGTAATGTAGGTGTAACTTGGCCCAGCCTCATTGGCTACTTTAGAAACGAGAAGAATCCGGGTTAAGTCTTATCTCTCAGTGACTTGTGGGATCGTTTTTGGGGACAATACACCTTCTGGTCTTTTGTTTTTTGCTCAGTGTAACAGTCCCACAAGTAACTGCGAGATGAGAGTCGACCCAGGTTTCTTCGAGTTTGTAAAGTGGTATTAGCGTTTGACAAATTAACTACCGAGATAAATGGGAGGTCAGCTCTTACCCAAACTCAGAGCACGTGTTCGGCTGTGCTTCCTTGCCTACTTCGACTCAAAGAATTTTTTTCCTCAGGTAAATTGATGACCTTGTCAATTCATGACACATTTTAAATCTGCATGTATTGATCTTAGTTGTTATAAATAGAACACTGAACAATTGATATCTGTACCATATTTAGCTGCTAAGGAACAAAGTCGAGGCGGAAAAAGCTGCAGACTCTACCAAACAAATAGATGAACTGAGAAGAAGATTACGAGAAGTGGAAGACGAGAAGGATTTGATTAGAACTCAGAGAAATCATTTGGTTGCATTGAACGAAAAAGCTAGTTTAGAGCCTACAACACGTGAATATCATGGACACTTGAATGACAGGAAGGTGGCAACTGTTCGATCGAGGCGATCCCTTGACTCGCTAATTGACGACACATTTTATGCAAAACCGGTTAAACTAGAAATGGAGCTCCCTTGCCGTGACAACGGTAAAATAAATACCAGTTTACCTCTTCAGTTTCAAGACATCGCCCCAGTGGATCAACAAATCTCACGGCCGGTTCAGGACATAAGGCAACCGACACGAGTTGCTAAAGTTGAAATGGACCAAGAAATGATAGGTATCTCTGTTAGAAGGAGCCAAAGGATCGACAAAGCAAGTTTGGTGTGTGAAAACGATCCTTTGAATGATTCAGTTGCACAGAATTCTGCCAATTCTTCGTTACCAATGTCCCGGAAAGAGCTCTCGGGTGACTACGGAGGCACACTGTCACAAAATTTTTCTTTACAAACGAAGAAGCCTTTGATGGCAGAGAGCAGACTGGAAAAGAGTGCAGCTCGGCCAAGTGAAGGTAAGGTCAGAGTTGGGTCATGCCTCACTGAGGAAGCTGTGTAAAAATGGTTTTCTTACGGTTCATCGCTTATGATGAGCTTCGTAATATGAACAGTAGAACCTCCTTGCAAGGAAGAGTGTCTGAATTATTGCGCTGTCCCTAAGAAGAAGATAATTACACAAACAACTAGATAAGTAAATATCTTACTTGACCGCTCCCCCAATGGGGCTTTTCAGGGTCAATGGAAACAAATGATGAAACAAATATCATGTGAATGAACATAACGTGGTTAAGAATCCCGACTGGCAAGAGGTGGACCAGTTGGCTATTTATAAGCGTGACCGAGGAGTTGAACTCGGGGCAACCGAGAACAGCACGAGCTGGTGGTCATAACGGGACTTCAACCCGCGACCTCCAGATTTCAAGACCGGCACCCTAACCACTCCTCTACGCTGCCTCCACTACTACTACTACTATCCGTGATTGCTTCTTTAGATAAAGATTTACATCTAAAGTGACCTGACATTATATAGGCGTACCTTTGCTGGCGTCATTGTTAACTGGTATACAGTTTTGCGCAGCTTCGATTTCGAGCAATTTTTGCTAATGTATCAGTCGCCAGCTAAGTACATCTCTTTTCTTGCTGTATCACACAGGTATTGCTTCGTCGACGTTTGCTGATGACAGAAAAAGTGAGGTAAGGAATAGTTAGAGGAACAATTGCGCCGCTTACATGAAGAGGTATTTCACCCAGTTGTCGTATTTGTAATCGTAGGTCCCCTGTAGTCAGGGTTGTTGCTGTTGATTTTCATTCCAATCTCTTGAATTTAATTGATGCACAACTTTGTAACCTTGAAATAAAAAACATCGAAACTAGCTTCACAGCATTATTTCAATGTTCATATGTTGCCATCGATATTTGTAAAACCAGGACCAGAAACAGTTCTTGCTGGTGTAGTTGAATTAGCAGCCTCAACTTCATTTGCCAAAATGCATCAATCTCTCACTCAATCCTCTTCGTTCCTGATGGAAAATAGGTCGTCCACTAGTGCCCGCCACCTGACCCTATTTTGAGCAGTGCGCTTCACCTCCTGCCACGTGAGCTGTCTCTCCTCCAACTCTGCCATTCTCGTGCGCCTCCAGGTGTGCTAGGGTCTGCCTCTCTTACGCTTCCCCTGCGGGTTCCACTCTATCGCCCTCTTGGCTATGTATCCGTCTGGTCTCCTCAGCGTATGGCCAATCCAACCCCAAGCTGTTTGTCTTATCTCCTACTCTACCGGTGGCTGTCCTGCTTGACTCCAGAGCTCCTCGCTGCGTATTCGTCTAGGCCACCAAATGCGCAGGATGTTCCTCAGGCTCTTATTGATGAACACTTGCAGCTTCTGCTTCAATCCCCTGGTCAGCCGCCAAATTTCAGAGCCGTACAGAAGCACAGCTTTCACGTTTGACCCAAAGACTCTCAACTTGGTCTTATTTGTTAGCGCCATAGACCGCCATATTGGCCTCAACATCGCAAATACCTGCGTTGCCTTCCCAATGCGTGCCTGGATGTCCTCGTCAGTACCTTCCTTCTTACTAACAATGCTCCCGAGGTACGTGAATTCGTCCACT